TGCTGAGTAATATTCCATCACATGAATGATCATATAGCTTCTTTTTCCATTAACCATGATGGCATCTGGATTGTTTCCAGTTTTGGTCTATTATGAACAAACAAAGCAGCTATGAACATTCAAGTGCAAGTCCTCATGTGGACATGCTCTCACTTCTCATGGGGGAAAGGATTTGCTGCCAAAGAACTGCCAAATTGTTTTCTAAAATGACTGTACCATTTTGCATTCCCACCTTTGCCAACACTTGGTATTATAATTCTTTTAAAATTTAGCCTTTCTATTAGGTGGTTGAGTAGTGGAATCTTACTGCAGTTTTAATTTGTATTCCGCTAATGACCAATGCTGTTGAGCATTTTCCCATGTTCTTATTGGCCATTAGTGTACCTCCTTTTGTGAAGTTCTGATCAAATCTTTTGCCTATTTTTAAAAGAATAGTCTTGTCTTATTAAGGATTCTTTATATATTCTGGGTAGGAAGCCTTTGTCAGATGTATGTATTGTGGATATTTTTATTCCAGTCTGAGGTTTACATTTTCATTTTATTAAGTCTTCTGAAGTTTTCATTTTGATTATGTCTAGTTTATCAGTTTTTTTGAGTCATTTGTGTCTGAAGAAGTCATTGCTGCCTAGTCACAGATTTTCTGTTTTCTCCTGGAAGTTTCATATTTTTAGCTTTTCTGTTCAATTTATTTTTAATTGTGGTATATGATGTAAGAGTTGAAGGTCATTTCCCCTAGACATTTGTTGACTGTCCTTTCCCCATTGAATTAATTTGGCACTTTTGTCAAAGATCAACTAACCATATATGTGGATTTATTTCTGGATTCCCTAGTCAGTAATTGTCCTGTTAGACTATTCTAATGCCAATTCCACAGTCTTGGTTACTGTAGCTTTGTACAAAGTTTTGAAATCAGGTAGTACAAGTTCCTTTTCAAAGTTGTTTTGGCCATTCTAGGTCCTTTGCATTTCCATATAAATGTTACCAACTTGTCGATGTCTACAAAGCAGCACACTAGTGGCTATTTTTTTCAGTGCTTGAGACTTTTTAGTTTTCCCCAGTAGGTAAGACAAACTCCTCACCACCACAGCCCAGTGCGGCAGGCCTCTACCACCTCCTGGCGAGCTCCACCTCACCATTCTCCCGTTTGCTTACTGAGCATCAGCCACACTTTCTTTCAGGTCCTCCATTCCTTAGAAAAGTTTCCTCTATCACCTCTGTCCAAACCAGACACTGGTTACAATCTCTTATCGTGCTCTTACCTTTCCTTTATGGCACTTAGCAGCGTCTAAGATGGTATACATGGTTCACGTGCTTATTTGTGTACGAGAAAGTAGGAACTATATTGTTTTGTTTGCTGTTATTGGGAATGCTCAGTGCAGTGCCCAGCATGGAAACAGCATTCAGAATTTATTGGTTGAATAAATAAAGGCAGATACAGCTTTCCGAGTATTTTATTGGGGCAAAACAATATATTTGCATGGGATGATTCTTAAGTCATCTCAAGAAGCTCCCCTTCAGTTCTTAACATGCACTCTCGAAATGGATACACCTACCCCAACCCATTATTTATATAGCTTGACAGCCATCCAACAAAGCAAAGAAAAACAAATCACCTGGCAAAATAGAGAGACAGGGATGGGTAAGGGAGAGTGACATTTTAACACATTACTAAATTTAAAAACATTTATTTACATTTCCCCTTCTTACTTCCCCAGATTACGTGACCATGACAGACTGGAAAGGGGTATCACAGCACCTCTGGCAAAGCCCAGTTTACAGCAGTGGGAAAATATGGGACAACGAAATGAGGTCTCAGCTCCCCATAAGCTGTTTCTCTATTCTCATTCTCTTTCCCCCTTCTCTTCATGTTAGCTACCTTTCTACAGAGAGGGATCATCAAGCCTGTGTGGGCATGTGGGCTGACATGCTCACGGTGATCTCTTTAACATTCCGTGAAGAACCATCAAGGATGCTTTTTAATCATTCCCACCATTAATCACATCACTGAGGTAACAAGACCGACTGTTAAGGGTGAAGACAAGCTACCACTCCACCCTAGTCAGTGATACGTCCCAACTTCCTTGGAAGGCCTGGGTCGGGCACCCAAGCTTTACACAAGAAACTTGAGAATCGTGCTGGAAAAGGCAGACTCTGAGTGGGCTCAAGGCTCCTTGTGCACGGAAGGATCCGCTTATCCGTGCCGACGGCAACAAGGCAGGACGCCTGGCACGACATGAGGGCACTGTTCTTATTTTCGCCTGTCATCCCACCTCCCCACAACTGCTCAGAGATCAGAGCTGTGTGTATGCTTCATTAAAAACACAGTAACGGCAGTTTAAGAGCCACTGCACTCTTTAGGGTCAGTTTATTATAACTCATCATACCACAAAGAATCACAGTTTATCAAGCCATTTATCATGTGCACGACGTAGTAAACAAGACCTTGCCCACAGCTCCCCCGCCAAGCCAGTCTCAAGGGTGACTGGGAATGTGATACCTCCAGACTCAGCAGAAAAGACTAGCATAAACATTTTCAGTAAGGGCTCAAGCCGGCCCCTTTGGTTTCTTCCCTGGAAAAGGCTCAATCTATAGCAAAAGTGCTTGGAAAATTGAAGTCACTGGAAACGACAAAAGAGGCAACAGCATTTTCAATACAATTAAAAGCAGAGGCGTCATTGGCTAGTCCTGGCGTTTCTTCTGTGTAAGGTGGGAAGCCAGCCTTCTAACTCAGCTATCTGGGCACATGGCAACTGGCTGGAAGCCTGAAAACATTTCATGTGGATAAAGCTGTGGAGAGAACGGACACGCTTTTCTTCACGTGGAAGGCATTGTGATTAACTGGCTTAATGGATTAAGATGCCTGCTGGGCACTGAGCTTCCCGGTTAAGCAGACAGCAGCACATCCACAGGTTCTGAGGCTGCATTTAAGCAAACAGCTGCTCAACAGCCAAGAAGAATACTTTGATTTTCGGAACTCCCCCTTCGTAATTTCTTTGGGCTATGCTGATTTTACCTGTGTGAAATGCTCAACAGTTCTTGACCTTCATGAAAGCCTACAGAAGGAAAATCACGACTCTCCCATCTCTTCTAACTGTACAGGTTATACCAAGTAGAGATTAAAACCCATTCTGGAAGGCAGCTATGCTAACCACTATACCACCAACGCCGCTAAAACCCATTCTGACTTACCTGGAACACCAGGAAAGGAAAGACACCCTGGGAATTAGGTCACAGCAATTCTCTATACAAGAGAACTAGGAGACAGTCAACTGTGTTTAACCTCCTCTAGGTGGTTTTGCCACAAATTTGTACAAAAGAATAACCCAAGTTCTCTTTCTTCACTGCCTATGACATGACTAGCAGTTCTGTGCGGCTGCCCAACCCAGCATGACTGAGGGCCAGAGATCCTCACCAATTTGGAAAGGGGGGTGGGGGGAAAGAAACAGGGCCTTGGCCTCTGAAAGGACATTAGGCAAACACAGCCCTTAGTAGCTGTGTCAGACATTTTCTTTTCACCACGCATGACCACACCAGGAAGAAGCATGTTTGACTAACCTGAAATCCTCGCCCTATCATGAAAGTTTAAGACAGTAATGAAAGGACTGAGATGCTGAGTTCTTCAAACAAGCAAGCAGTACTCTGGGGCCTGGAGACAAGAATGTTTTTTTAAAAGGAAGAAATTTTCCAAAGCGAAGTGAAAAGTTAAAGTGCTCTAAAGACCCTGCTTCTGAACACTCTCTTTCAATATTTACTTGCTCTAGAAAGTACACCATATTCTAGGGTAAAGTTTTTAGAACAAAAGTGGAAGGAGAGAATCTGCCCCTGCCACTTGATCCATTCTTTGATGTCCCCTAGTCATAAACTTCCTGGTTTCTGATGCGATCTGCAGGAAAGGCAATGCTAAATAAACAGGGATGAGAAAAAGTGGTAAGGATTAGTCACACCTCTATTGACTAACTCTGACAATCAGCCTTGTGAGCTGATACCTATTTGAATCTCATCAGATTCTTGAAGTAGGCTGTGTTAAACCATATACTAAACAACACTTTTTAGTCCCAGATTTCTACATGATCCCAATGACTGTATTTATACACACTTGTATTTCCCCAAGTGGGAGGCTTGGTTAAATAATGATACTTGTGATATGACTGGACCCTAGGCTTATATTATTTAGTTTAGAGACAACCAGTGTGTATAATGTTTTCTCCTTTAGAAAGCAGAGGTCATGGATAGATCACAAGAGTTTTAGCTCTTCAAAATAAATCTGTAACTCAACTATACTTATCCTAAAATAACTGCACCAGCAAAGTGATATATATGTATATATATTTTAATGCCCCTACTAAGTGACATTTTAAGTTGCAGTGACTTCATGCAAGCCAAAATAAAACACTAGCTGTAAGTTCATTGCTTTAAGTTTGTGACTTCTGCAAACCCTACACCACTAAACAGTCACCACAGTGCAAAAGCTCTCTGGTATTCTAATGGGGTTCTGTGGTGAGGAACTAGATATGCAGGAAAGGTTAGTAATGTATTTTACTTTACAGGACTAATGACTTAGTTATCACAATCTTTTTTACTTCAGCTTGTGCATGCTATCTATATGTAGTCCCTGTATCTTTACTTGGTACTTTAAATTCACCTTTATCTGTTCTTAAAAAAGTAAAATAAAAACCTTGGAATATTTCAAGGGCTTAAGGCTCTCAGATGCTGAGAGTAACCAAAGATAACTTAAGACATGAAAACAAAACTCCACAAACCATAGTATTGCTTATTTCCTCCACTACATGTATGTGCAAGAACATACCACAGCTGATCACAGGATGCTCAGGAGAATCTGGACTGAGAATTTTTACCAATAAAAGGAGGGATTTAAAAAATAGAGATGTGCAAAACTACTTTCACACGATACTTTTCCAATCCATTCTCAATCTTTCCCCTATAATACTTGATGGCTACTAAAAAATAAACTGATCTTGGGCATAAAAAAAGTCAAAAAATTCTCTTCACTTAAGCATTGGTCAACAGAAAAAAATAAGAACTTCAATATGGTGATTTCCAGATTTGTTCTTTGGTCAAGCAGTATAAAGCTCTCTGAAAGAAGTCCCCTTACCTGGTATGAAAACAGAGTCAAAACAGAAGGTTAGCAAAGAAGTAAATGTTCAGAATTTCTCGAGGGATGGTGGGCAGGGTAGCAGGAGATGGAGCCCCGTAGGCCCCAGATGCCAGGTTAGAACTGCATTAGGACATCAAGAATAAGGGAGAACTGGCCTCAGAGTGAAATTTAAATGGGTCATCTTCTAAAAAGGGTAAGTTGATAGACGTTAATCCTTAAATTAGGAACATGACAAATGATTTCTGAGCAGAGCTTTACCAACATTTTCCTTTATCAGTTTAAATCCTAATCTGGACCCAGATCCAGGCAGAGGCTGTCATAAGTTTGAAAAGTAGAAAGCAGTAAGAACCAGACCACAGACATTCTGCAGGGAACAATCAATTCTTTGCACAGCGCCCCTGCCCTCTCACCCCAGCAGGAGTGCATGTCACTCTGTCAAGCAGCTTTATACACAGAACAGTGAAGTGTGAGTCAGCTTCACCAGAGGTCTGACCAGGGTGGGATGCGGGCGCTTTTAAAACAATTTAAGTGCTTTAAATAGAGGGTAGGAGTGTTACATTATGGCTTGGGAAGAACCCAGAAATTGGACATATGCTCAGATGTGACCATTATGAAGAATATTTGATGGTGAAAGAAGAAACCATCTAGTGACCAGAACGAAATGGAATAAGACCAAGCCTGGGAGGCTCCTGGCCAGGGAAGGTTAGACAATGAGGGAGGGTTCCAGCAATGTTAGTTTTTACTGTTTTTCTTAAATGGCTAAACTTAAGACACATGAAAACACTGGTTGATCACATGACTGGTTAATTAAGGATTCCAAAGTTGGCAGCCTCTGAGACCTGGACTGGAAGTAAGTGGAAGTCACTTGCTCCCCAGAAAGGAGGGTCAGGTGAGTCAGAGGCTACAATGCCAGGGCCAGCAGGAGCTTTCGATGGGCCCACATCTGCCAGGTGGCTGGGAGAGGTGAATGGTCTGCGTGGTTAGCCAGAGACGGGCTTGGGTCAGCGTGATTTCACAAGTAGAATAGTTATAAAATAAAACATTTTTTAATGGACAAAAAAAGCAAAGTGAGTTCACCTTTTTTTTTTTTTTTAAAAAAAGGTGAAATGTAGCAAAGGAAGGACGTGAAGCAGTTTTTTTACTATTTACAAAATGCCATTTAGACTGGAGGTGGCCACCATCAGTAGTTGAGAAAATGTCTTGCACAAGAGATGGCCACAGGGAACTGGCTCAGAAAGGCCACCCACGTCCTGGGTGAGGGCGAGTTCCTCTAGCAGAGCACCAAAAAGGCTCAGTCTTCTGTTTCTTCATATGTAGTCTCGTCAAAGGGCCTGTCCAGTAGAGGCACCAACCGGTGACGGGAATACTTCAGCTGCAATAGGTCCCCAACTTCATCAATCTCCTTTAAAGCCTGAAATATACAAAACAGAGCAGAAGTTGGTCAGAGCTAGGAGGATGAGGGCACACCTGCTGCTTCAGTTTTCTAAAAGCAATCATGGCACAGTTATCCTGTGGTGGGACCATGTCTAGTGCATTTACTCTGAGCAGATTACAGTCCAGAGCTCCTTTTTGAGCAAGGACGTCAAGCTGACCACGAAGAACAGGTTGTGAAGAGCAGGGATGCAGGATACAGGGTATATAATTCATCAAAGTAGGATGTGCTTAGCAGAAGGAATATGCACCCTGAATTTGCCAGGCTGGCTACGATCTGTCATCTCTCCTTTTATCCGTCAGTACTTGCTCGTTCTGTTATCATACTACCAGAAAAGTGATGTGAAGTCTGCACTGGGATGCTTCCTAGATGCAAGATGAAGAGAGTCCCCAAAGTGGACTGCTGTGAAGACTTAGTAAGAAAAAGTGAAAGCTGTTAGGAGGAGACGGTGGGTAGGTAATGGACAGGGTGTAGGGAAGGGAGCAAGGAAAGAACAGAGCTGGCATTTAAACTCAGGTCTGATTTTAAACCTCCAAATTCGAACACTGAGAGATCATCTTGTCTTTCCGTCAAAACTCTTAATTATCTCAGTAACTGCTTTTCTGTGAAATTTGCTCTTTTAGTTTTCAAAGAAACTAAGTTTCTTATTAAAAAAATTCAAACACTAAGACAAGTTATGAAGTGAAAGTCTCTTCCTCATTGCTACACTAGTCCAACAGGTAACCTGTATATAGTTTCTTAGATGTACAACACACCCCCAACAAAAAAACAAACTCCTGGATTAAGTATAACACACATACAGCAAAGCACATAAGTCACAGTTTACACAGTTAACCTGTTTAAAAAGCAGCGCACAGGAAGTCATAATAGAAAATCCCAATATAAAAGAGGGATATGTGCTCAGAATTTCTGAGAAAATATTTAATAAAAGGACAAGGAAACTCTAAGCCCCAGATACCTCTCAGAAAAATCCAACAACGACAGCAAAAAATTTTGAATCCTAAAATGATTATAAATCAATAAAAAATGTTAAAAAAAATTTTGACTCCTAGATTCTAAGGCTTTCTAATGAAAGCACCTGGCACAGGTCACAGACTGCACTTTCAGCTCATGGTGGCCCTCCAGCCCTGTTATCCACGCCCAAGCACCTGTGGATGTTGCCAAGCAGGTGTAATCAGCCTCAGTCTTGGAGACAATGGCTCTGTCAATGACACCATCTCATTAGACTAAGAAACGGTAATGTGGGCAGTAGGAGCCCTGTTGCCCAAGTGTGACTCTCCAAATTTCTATCACATCATATAAATCTTCTGTCCACTCTTATGGTTATAATTCCATATGAAAATGTTTACCTTCTAGTTCAGAAAAGGGAATCCGTTGATTAGTAAATAGACACATGTATCTGTTCTTAAACTTAAAATAAATCAGTGTTTGTAGAGAGGAAAAAAACCCAATAAACAGCATTTCTTATTTATTCTAGCATAAAAAATAATATTCTTCACTCCAAATGTGAAAAATATAAGAAGCAAATAAAAGCTGGACTTCAACATGCTATCAGAACAGTGATATCTTCGAGATGAGGTTTAATTAAAAGCTCCATATGGAAATAATTCAAGACTGAATTTCAGCTGGGAGACCCATTAACCATTTATTCCCCTGACCTCTGATACAGAATTTATTAATTTAAAACAACACATGACTTACTGGGAGCACAAAGTAAAGAATTTTCACAAACTCTGACTTCAGAAGAACCTGGTATTTTTTCATCAATGTAAAAAAGAAAATGAATAGAAACAGAAAAAAACCCACAGCAGCCCAGTGGGAACTAAACAAGATTTCTGTTGATCCCATACAAAATATCTCAGATGAACAGGTTTTATTTACCTAAAAGATAAAATTGTGACTAGAAATTGCTGGCCATGATATGGGGTTACCTGGTTAGATTAGGAATAATGAATCATTACAAGTATCACCATTTGTTAACAAATAGTCTACACTGAACCTCTGGATCATGGGGGTAAGATGGGTTCTTAGGGGAAAAGCAAGTTAATTACAGGGTTGAGTATGCCCTTGAATAAGAGAATATTCTAGGACAGCTGTGCACCCCTGAACTGATAATCTTGCTCTTCTCATTTTAAAAAATAATAGCTCTGTTAAGATACAATTCACATGCCACAAAACTCCCCTTTTAAAAAGTGCTTCTGCATACATTGGTATAGTTGTACAACTTTCATCACTATCTAATTTTAAAGTATTATTACCTCAAAAACACAAACCCCATACTCATATCCTCATTCCTCCTTCCCCCAGGCCCTGACAACCACTGATCTATTTTCTGACTTAGTGGGTTTGCATATTTTGTATATTTCATATAAATGTGGTCTTTCGTGTCTTCTTTCACTTAACATAATGTTTTCATAATATTTTCAAGGTTCATCCATTTCGCAAGGTTGCAACTTCATTCTCTTGCATGTGGTTATCCAGCTCTCCAGCACCATTTGAAGAGACTATTCTTTCCCCACTAACTAGTCTTTGCTCTGCTCCCTTGCTGAAGATCAGTTAGCTATAGATGTTTGGGTTTATTTCTAGACTCTTAATTCTATTCCATTGGTCTATATGTCTACCTTTACGCTAGTACCACACTGTTCTGACAACTATAGCTTTGCAGTAAGTTTTGAAATCAAGAAGCTTGAGTCCACCAAATTCTACTTTTTTTTCCCAGCTGATTTGGCAGTCTGGGGCCCCTCACAGTTCCACATGAACTTGAGGATCATCTTTTCTGTTTCTGGAAAAAAGAAAAAAAGCCACTGGAATTTTGATGGGGATTGCAGTGCAGTATAGATCCCACTGTACTGCCATCTTAAAAATATTAAATCTTCCAACCCATGAACATGGGGTATCCCATGGTCATTCATTATCTATTTTAATTTAATATTTAATATTATTAATATTATTTATACTTATATATATTTATTATTCCATTTATCTAAGTCTTCTTTCATTTTTTTCAGCAATGTTTTATAGCTTGCAATATGCAAGTCTTTCACCTCCCTGATTAAATTGATTCCTACTAGGTATTTTATTCTTTTGCATGCTATCATAAATAAAATTTTAATTTCCTTCTCATTTGTTCATTGCTGTTATATAGAAACACACTAAGTTTTGTGTGTCTATCTTTTACTGTACAACTTTGCTGAATATATTTATCAGCTCTAGCAGGTCAGTTTTTTTGAGTGGATTTTATGGCATTTCCTATATATAGAATCATATCACAGGGCCCATTAATAAATGTTAAGTTTGTATCTCATAATGTTCATGTTTACTTCCATAAAACATCATATGACAAAGTTACTTCAACAGACCCATGGTTTCAAAAAATGCACTGTAGGCTTTTAAAAAAAAACTAAATGGAAGGCAAAGTCAAACAATCCTTCAAGAGGATCTTATGAAAAGGATTAGAACTCTCAAATGGCAAACATGTTTGCTGGCAAATGAAAATCTATTGAGACAGCCTAACTACGTCTAAGTTATTTCATGAATGTGTAGTTATAAGGAGTCAAAATTATTATTAGAAGACATAGTGTATTACTACAGCCATTGCTTTTGATGACACAGGTATTTTAAAAAGGCATGTTGAAACTCCTAAACATGCAAAGAGAGTAGAATGAAAGAAAGGCTGCTACCACTGGGTTAAAAAAATAATCAATGTAGAAACAAATTCTCCAGTAAGATTTCTGAGATATGGGAAAATGCACTGAAAAAAACTGAAAGGCATAATCAAAATAAAGAAAAGCAAAGATATACTATCAATAAACTGAATCCAATTTCACAGTGTCAGGAGGTTAAGAATGTACTCATAGAAGTTTTGCTATGTAGAAAATAGGGAGGAAAAATAAAAATCTTTAGCTATTCAGAAAATTAAAATGTCAATTACCCTACTATGTGACTGGCACTGTGGTAAGTCCTGAGGATAGGGAGTGAGAAAAATAGACTTAGTCCCTCCTTAAGATTTGTCTAATGGAGAAGATTGCCATTAAATAATTATAAGGGTAAATAATTTTCTAAGGGGGAGTCTTAAGAGTCCCAGAAACACGTAGCAAGAGGGTTTGGGAAAACCGTTGAGCAAATTTCCTTTAAGTGGAGATGTAAAGAATGAGTAGCAGTCAGCCAGGCAAAGGGGAGAAAAGGGTAGAGAGAACATTCCACAGACAGAACAACACACAAGAAAGCTTAGAGTAGAAACAGCCAGAACAGAAAGAGAATTATACAGCTGGACAGACCATAAAGAGGAAGAGAGTGGAACAAGAAGCCAGAAGATCCCCCAGAGCCCTGATCATGCAGGGTCTGGTAGACGATGCTAACAGTTGTATAATTTTTGGAAACGGTTTTAAGCAGCATTGTGTCCTTCCTCCTCTATAGTACCAGTAAATATCTTAGGTGCCCAAAGAGGAGCAACAGATGATTAATTTCATCTGAAACACAGGCCTTCTTAGAATAAGGCATATGTATATCAAAGTGAAAGTGTTTACTTACAGTATCAAGTATTTCTTTGGTATGAGCTGCTGACAGGCAAAATCTGGCTCTGGATTCAATGATTGGAGTAGCAGGAAATCCTACCACAACTACACCAACATTCCGCTTCAGCATCTCCCGTCCAAAGGCGCTGCAAAGGGAAACAAGGACAATAAACCAGGGAGAATAACAAAGCACACGGTACAATGGTCTTGCAGTCCTGAATGCTTTAAGCTTTTGGACGACACAGGCCCTAGGGACTTCTATTAGGAATTTTTTCGTAACTTCTTTGAAAGTTAAAGTTGACAGTTCACAAAGACTTCTTTTATTCAAACTGAAAGAGGTCTTCTCCCAAATGGTTTCTTTCACAAAGGTGACGGAATATAGTTGGCAGAGACCAGTTTTTAATAGGGCTTGCCTAAAGTGATTTGCAACTGTAGCCTTAAGGTGTCCCTGACACGTACGTAACAGCGGTTCAGAAGTTTCAAAATGAACTTGAGTTTAAAACCTGGTCCTTGAAATGTTAGGCTTGGCAGTTTAAAAATTCTTGAGATTAAGGATGCAGAGGATCTGCCGTAATGTGGACATCTTCCTTCTGGCAGAATGGCCGATGAACATTAGCCCTCCAGACCAGGCATTTCTTTGATCGACACAGGTGTTAAGCTGCCTTTGGAATTTGGGGTTTCCTTTGGTGTTTGTGAGGTCAGCTCGCTTCCAGGCTTCAGATGAACATCCAGACTGAATAATTCTTGTTTAACTCCCAACCCCAAGCCAAACTGGTGGCATGGGACCTTATTCCACATCTGTATCTTGGCTAATTAAGAAAATTCTAACTTTCATGTAAATTTTGTTAGTTACTAAATTATGTTATTCTTTTGTCCTTTTCTCTTGTTGACCTTATTCCTTTTTGACTTTCCCCTTAACTGTTTAAGGCATTTGAGAATAAAAAATCCCACTCATTTTAGTTGTATCAGTAACAGTGCCAGCTTTCCCAGTGCAGTACCTAGTACATCATCTTCATTGTACTTCCTTTGTGTCAGGCTGAGCCTGAGCGCCCCACATCTTTGGCACATGCTGTGGAACTCTCTGGTGCTTTATTTCAATTCTGTCTCACCCCCTCTAAATCTTAATTAATGTACACAGTGAGTTTTACCTAATGCAGAGTAAATTAGACACAGTCCTCGCTAAAGAAAGGGTTCTAGACTAAGTCAGTCCTCCAGACCTCATAACTTTTTGTGTTTATTTATGATAATTCCATTTAAAGAAGAATGAGGGAAATCCTATACCTCAGCTTTGGTTCATTTCCACCACCTCCTTATGCCCCTATGACTTCCTGTTAGAAACTGAACTCCTCTTTTTCCCTCAATGAGCACCTTTCCCCAATTTCTTCCTCAATATTTTTGGAGTCACCATACTTTCAGGTTCCTTGATTTAACTTTCCTTCCTATATTCACTTTAATAAACATTTACTGAGTGCCCTCTGAGTGCTAAGGACTATTCTAGGCACTGCGGATTCAACAATGAATAAAAATATTTGTTCCTTTAATGAGTTCAATTAAACCTGAGAAATGATCCTTAGCCAATTTTATATTTAAGATCCAGTCAAAACCACAAATTTGAAAAGATGTGCCTTTTTTACTGAGCCTATACTAAGCAGGTGACTCCTTTATTTTATATCTCTGATGAAATTTTGCACATAGTTATTTTGCAAGTAATTTTATTTGTTCAATTCATATATGCTTTCCCAATGTATTTTGGTTTCATTATACATCTGGACTTCTCGAATACATTGAAAGCTATTCCAGGACAAAGATTTCCACTATATATGCCTTGTAGAAGCCAAAGAAGCTGGTGTAATGTGCACATCTAATAACTGTGCAGTAACATGGCTGATCTCATGGCCCACTGCTCCCCCCTGGGCACTGCCCTTCAGCTCCACTCACTTCCTGCTAGTCTTCCATCAGCTAAGCACGTTCCTGTGTTCTGGCCTCTGCACAGGAGCTTCTTTTCGCTAGGTGGCTAACTTGCTCAGCTAATTCAAGCTCAGATATCATCTTCCTTACCCACTGAGGCTCTCCCTGACCACCCCATTTAATACTGTAATCTGCCCAGCCACAGGCACTCTCAGTCCTCCATATCCTGCTCTATTTCTTCCCACAGCATTGAATACTTTCTAACATTATTACATAATTTACTTATATGCTAAGTTTGAGTCTTGCCCCACTAGAGCATAAGCTCCACGAGGACAGGGATTTTTATTTCTGTGTTTTGTTCACTGACCTGTCTCGATCCCCTAGAAGAGTGCATTAAACTCAAATGTTTGTTGAATGAAAGACTAACAAGTTAACATAGTTTACATTGGAATCCACTCTTTAATTTATGGTACATCTAGCAAATGAAGGCTAACATAGATAATTTTACATAAGCCTGAGTCTCACATCACAGGAAACCTCGAGTCTGTTGAGAGAATAACCTATAATTTGCAAAAAATGTACCCAATTTTGGCTGGCATGTAGAGCATCAGAGGCACCACTGGGGAATCTTCATTTCCATAAATGATGAAGCCCATCTCCTTCAGGCGTCTTCTGAAATACCTGGTGTTTTCAGCTAACTGCTGTATACACTCTTTGCCTGGAAAATCATGGGGAGAGAAAGAAAATAACACTAAGAAAACAGGAGTGGAAAAAGACAGTAATTTCCTCTATCTCTATCCTATCAAACAGTTCTACATTTTGTTTCTTCCTTTCCAACATACAATATTTTTACACAGTACACTGTAAAGAATATAAACAGAAACACATATATCTTGCTTTGTATTCTGCCATACTAGACACTGACAGCAGATTTTATAATAATATACAGAATAAAGTTTACTGATTAGCATTTCCATGCACGTTAGCAGCCTCGAACATCTGCATTGATACCACCTCACTTAACACTACTATCCCTTCACAGCAGGCAGGATATTTATCATCATTTTCATTTTATACATTAGGAGACTCATAAAGGTAGTGACTGGCCTACAATCACACAGTTTGAGGGGCACAGCTGAGACTAGAATCCAGGCCTCTCAACTTCACTACTCATTCCAACTGTGCTGCAAGTAATTTTACACATAAGACCAGAGATAGAGCCATTCAGAGCCCCAAATTTTCCTCTTAAGAGATTGAATTTTTGTTACTATTTCCCTAAAACTTCTAGCAATAGCATATCTGTATCACATAATGTCATATTTTTAATCCTACTCTGTTCATCTCCCTAAAACACAAGCGGATTAAGACGTACATTTTTCTAACCACTAACTGCCTAAATTTTTGGCCTAGTTTTGACTTTATGACAGGTCAACCTATGAATAGATGTCCAAAAACAATTGTTCTTTTATAGAAAGCAAGCCATAAGTTCAAAAGATCAGCTTGCAAAGGACTAAGCACTGTTTCATGGTTTTTCAACCATGAATACTCACAAATAAGAAAAGGTCACAGTCATTTTTTCACATATATAAAAAAGTCAGCAAATTCATATTTTTAAAAATACAAAGCAGCACACAGCTGAAAAGATAAATTAATCAGAAATACAGATGACCAATAACTGTCCTTAGAATCAGAATACTAACATATCCATCATTGATTGGAAGCTATGCTAGATAGGTCTGCTACAAATAACTCCAAATTAAATCTCTTTATGCAAATAATTTCAAGTTGACCAGAGAAGCACACACAAGCTTAGTTTAATGTGAACACTAAAGAACATCATTTAAGTCATGACATACAACATACAAATATTAAAGCAGATATTAAAGTATACTATATTTATGTTGAGAATTGACGAGTCATAGACCCTATTCTCCCCTAGAAATTCCAACACACGCTTACTCTAGATTTAGAAAAGAGACTTCCACTTCTGGCCATTACAGAGTACCCAGAACCAGATTTACTTTCCTGCTTGTAAACAACAGAAAGTTGGACAGAATATATAAAATAATGGTTTTTAGACACTGGGCCACAGGCAGTGCAAGACTGTGCTGCCAGAGAGAAGGGAAACAAGAAGTGAGACTTTGGACTGGCCCCCTACTGCTAGAAGACAGGTCCCGGGCTGCTTCAGGTGGGGGAACTAGAATTGTTAGTTGAGGACACCAGAGGTCAGGGTTGGGGGGCTAAGGCGAGCAGCATAACAGGAGAGGAGGAAGGTGCACAGAGAGAGCGTCAGGGATCTGCAGCAGGGACCCCTAGAGCCTCTGGCAGAGTGCTGATCTGCGTACTTATAAGAAGAAAACATGAGGGGCTGGGGAAAGCTCCACCAGAAAGCAGCAGAGTGAACGGTTCCCCGCACTCATACGGAGTTGAGAATAGTTTGTATTTTCACCAAGCAGAAAGAAAAGACCTCAGATTCACACTAGTAGAAGAGTTAAATTAGCCCTATACTGAAAGCTGCTCTGGCCATCCTAATACCCCTTAAAAGCAAGTCTCAAAAACGATCCAAACAATCCCACGAACAAAGTCCAACACTATTACCTAAGGGAATACAACAAAATGTAGCCTCTAATAATTTAAGATTCACAATGTCTGGCATAAAATTAAAAATTCCAGGCACTCAAAGAAATAGGAAAATATGACTCAGCAACCAGGAGAAAAGTCTATCAATAAAAACAGACCAGAAAGGACAGAGTTTTTTAACAGACAAGGATGTAAAAATGTTATTATAAATATGCTCCATGCATTCAGAAAGGTAGAGGAAACATGATGAAGAGAGAAAGGAAACACATAAAAAGGAACAAATAATTGACATATGCAATAATGATGATGAATCAGAAAAGTATTATGTTAAATGAAATAAGCCAGACACAAAAGACAATACAATTGTGGACTCATTTATAGGAAATTCTTTAAGAGATCTAATTATAGTGATTGAAAACAGATTAGTGGTTGCCAGGCAATGGAGAAAGGACTGACACCAAAGGGGTATGAGGGAACTTTCCAGGAGTTATACCTCGCTTATGGCGTCGTTACATATGACAAAAGTCATGGATTTACACACTTAAAATTGGTGAATTTTATTGTATACAAATGATATCTTATTAAAAAATTTTAAAAATTAGTGACACATTTGCTAAGTGTACATTATTTTTTTCCTGCACCACTTACTGTTTTACAACTTGCTACCTTTTTCTTATCACAAACTACCTCCCGTTAAAATTTTTTTCTCATTCCAAGATTATCAAGAAAAATTATCAAGGAAAAGAAAAAATGTTAAGAGATATAGACTTTAACTCTTCCACTAACTGCTGTATCATTTCTTTAATGAAAGGAAGTGGAAATCTCAGTCTCATCATTTGCTGTCATTTGTCCCCTGAAAAGAAGAGTCCCAGAGGAAAACACATCTAAAATAACACTCATATAGACAACAAAAAGATGGTGGGAACAGGCATTTAAAACTCCCAACTTATATATCTTCATAACTGCTGAACAGTATTCCTTAGGAAAGATATACCACAATTTGTTTATATATTTACATGTTAATGAACATCAGAGTTCAGATTATCAACCTTCATTTTAGCAGTTTATAAAGTTCAGATTAAAAAGAATTCTCCCTAAATAGAGGATGTGGAGAAAAGGGAACTCTTGCAAACTGCTGGTAGGAATGAAAACTGGTGCATCCACTATGGAAAACAGTATGGAGGTTCCTTAAAAAACTAAAAATAGAACTACCACATGATCCATCAATCCCACTCCTGGGTATATATCTGGAAGAAAACAAAAAGACTAATTAAAAAAAATATATGCACCCCAATGTTCATAGCAGCACTACTTACAATAGCCAAGGCATGGAAACAACCAAAGAGTCCATCAACAGATGACTGGATTAAGATGTGGAATACATACACATGGAATATTACTCAGCCATAAAAAACAATGAAATTCTGGCATTTGCAGCAACAGGGACGGACCTAGAGGACATCACGCTTAGTGAAATAAGTCAGCAGAGAAAGACAAATATTATATAAGACGTATATGTAGAATCTAAAAAATAATATGAATGAATGTATATACAAAACAGAAACAGACTCAAAGCCACAGAAAACAAACTTGTGGTTACCAAAGAGGAAAGGGGCAAAGGGCTAATTTAGGAATTAGGGATTAACAGATACATACTACTGTATATAAAACAGATAAACAAGGACCTACTGTATGGCACATGGAACTATATTCAATATCTTGTAATGACCTATAATGGGAAAGAATCTGAAAAACAACAAATATATGTATATGTGTATAATTGAATCACTTTGCTGTATACCAGAAGCTAACACATTGTAAGTCAACTATACTTCAATTTAAAAAAATCTCCTAAATAAATATTTAAGCATCCTAGTCATGCCCAAATAAGGGAAGAATTACTCTAATTGGCAACTAACAGTTCAGTTTCATTTGATTCTAACTGCTTTAGGTAGATATGGTAAAATAATATACTACAATTGATCCTTGAACAGCACAGAGGTTAAAACACATATAAATTTATAGTCAGTCCTCCATAGGCGAGATCCCTCTGAATGTGCAGATTCAACCAACCAGGGACGGTGAAGTACTGTAGTATTTATTATCGTAAAATATTCACATAAATGTGGACCCAGGCAGTTCAAACATGTTGTTCACAGGTTCACTGTACTTACACTTTATACACAAAGAAACAGGCCCATAAATGTTAAACTACTTTCTCTAAGGTCTTTCATTTAGTAGGAGGCAGACCAAGATTTTCTGACTCCACTTCAGTGCTTTTTCTCCTATATCACACCAAAAAATTACGTATTTTTCAAACTTTAAAGTTTTAACCCTTTCCTGGGTAACAATATCTGTATTTTACTTTTTAAAGGGCACTTACTGGCAAATGAATGGGATAGGGATGAATGGGGATGGGAGCTTAAGGAGACACCGGACAAGTAAGAGACAAGTAGAAAGCAGTTCTTCCAATAAATTCATCACGATCAGCAAACTGCAATCATCACTGGTGGACAGTGGGATAAAGACTGAGTAGAAGCGTCAAGATCATTGCTAGAGAAAGATGCAAAGTAATTAGAAATGGCGGTCACAGTGAATCACAGAAATTAACTGGTCTGTGTATCCTATGAAACTACTAGGCTGAACAATGAAACTGCCAATATTTGACTATTTTTGACCTAAAAAAAGGAAATTTCTTCTGGTTCAATGGAATAATTTCAAAGATAATAACAGGAAAAGCAGTCAAGTGTAGCTAAATCAGTAAGCTTTGGCAGTTATACAGATTGGAAAGTAGCTATCCCTAATTCCTGAGGTGATACCAAATTTTAAAGACAACAGTTATTCATTTTGAATTAAATACCATATAAAATACCAGTTAATATTAATACAAGAACCTTGGTATTTAAGTCCAATCTGATAGCTCAGTTGTAAAGAGTTTTCTTACTGCAGAGCTGCAGCAAGTATCTGGTCTAAAACAGATTTAAAAACAAGGTTAGCCCTGTTAAAAGATACTAACTCTTAAAAGGTCTTTATCCTTGCCTCAGAGAGGACACAGATGGTAAAACAAGAAGTCAACCTTCTTCTCTACGTTTCAAACATAAACCTTTACTTTTAAGGGTGATAAAAAGCATAAAAGCA